TTGTTTAAAATTACATAGAGATATGATTAATTTAGCAAACAAATGAAGGATTAGCTTGACTTGAGAAAGCTGGTTAATTAATTTAGGAAAATCCGCCATCTCATGCGATAACACTATTATTTGAACTTGAATTAAATTAATGAAACAGTTGCATAATTCAGAATTAAATGAAATCCAAACCCTAGTTCCTTCTCATTCATAGTTTCTTTAATTTAGAAAATTCTTTAGTTTAATTTCCTTAGTTTACTTAGTTTACTCTTAAATAGTTTAGTTTTCCCCATTAATTGGTTAATTCAACTTAAGTTAGATTAATAGTGTCTTGGTAGTGTAGGATAGTCCTCGAGGGAACGATAACTTACTCATCTTATACTGCATAATCGATTAGGTTCACTTGCCTAAAAGTAGTGTATATTTGGTGCATCAAGTTTTTGGCGCCATTGCCGAGGACTAGTCATCTACATATTAAGATTAATAATTTAGTCTTAGATTGAATTTTTTTTTTTTTTCTTTTTCTTTATTGATTAGTTGTTTTTTTTTATTCTTTATTTATCTTAGTTTTATTTTTTACTTTTTGATTTTTTTTTTTAGGATATTAGTGCATGACACGTAGTAGTGGTGGTGATCTTGTTCCATTTGATCCAGAAATTGATAGAACTTTTAGAGAGTTTTTAAGAGAGCAAAAGCAACACATCATGGCAGAAGAAGGTGAAGGACAAAATAATGCACGCACTCTTGGTTCATATACTACCCCATCCCTTGAAGGAATAGCATCCAGCATTAGGAGGCCAGCGATTCAAGCCAATAACTTTGAAATCAAACCAACTATCATTCAAATGATCCAACAAACTGTCCAATTCAATTTTTTGCCTAATGAAAATCCTTATTTGCATATTGCTAGTTCTCTTGAAATTTGTGATACTTTTAAGGCTAATGGTGTTAGTAATGAGTCTGTTAGGCTTACATTATTTCCATTTTCTTTACGTGATAAAGCCAAGAGTTGGCTTCAATCTTTTCCTGCAGGTCATTTTACCATATGGAATGTTTTGGTAGATAAATTCATAGCTAAATTTTTTCCTCCTTCAAAAACAACTAAGTTGAGAAATGACATTACTACTTTTGTTCAATTTGATAATGAGTCATTATATGAGGCATGGGAAAGATTTAAGGAATTGCTTAGGCAATGTCCAAATCATGGTTTACATGTTTGGCTCCAAGTGCAGACTTTTATAATGGTATGACTCCTCATAATCGTTCTATAATTGATGCAGCTGCAGGGGCTAATCTTATGAATAAGACAGAGGAGGATGGTTATAAGCTGTTAGATGAAATGGCCCCTAATAGCTATCAATGGACTAATGATAGAGCTACCAAAAAGGGAGTTGGTTTACGTAATGTTGATGCTTTTACTTCTTTATCTGCTCAAATTTCTGTTTTGAATAAAAAGTTAGATAATTTAGGAGCGTCAGCAATGAGTATTTCATCTAATAGTTTCTATGAATTGTGTGGGCAATTTGGTCATGCTAGTGTTGAATGTCAAGTAGGCAATTCAGTTCAATCTTCTAATGAGCAAGCTAATTTTGTTTCTTCTGGTGGTAGGTTTAATTTTAATCCATACTCCAATACCTACAATCCAAGATGGAGGAGCCATCCTAATTTTTCATGGAGTAATAATCAAGTGAGAGTACCACTAGGTTTTCAGCAACAAAATCAGCAAGAAAAGAAGCCAAATTTGGAGGAGTTGGTGCACAAATTTGTTAGTAGTATAGAAGCACGGTTTCAAAATCAGGAAATAAGGTTTCAAAATCAAGATGCTGCTATTCAGAATATAGAAACGCAACTTGGACTGATTGCTGATATGGTTTCTGGAAGAGTTCAAGGGGGTTTGCCAAGCAATAGTGAAAAGAATCCAAGGGAGCAATTGAAGGCTATCACTTTGAGGAGTGGAAAAGAACTTAAAGAGGTAGGACAATCTGATGGGAAAGAAGAAGGTGTGGAAGCTGGTGAATCAAAGCAAGAAGAGGGGCCTAAAAGACTTTTTCATGATCCGAATGTCAAGCCTTATAAGCCAAAAATCCCTTTTCCTCAAAGATTTTTGCAAGCTAATTTAGACAAGCAGTTTTCTAAATTTTAAGAGGTGTTTAAAAAGTTACATATTAATATTCCTCTTATTGATGTTATTTCGCAGATGCCAAGCTATGCAAAATTTTTGAAGGAGATCCTTGCCAATAAAAGGAAGTTAGAGGAGTTTGAGATGGTGAAGTTAAATGAAGAATGCTCTGCTATTCTTCAGAATAAGTTACCTCCTAAGTTGAAGGATCCAGGGAGTTTTTCTATTCCTTGTATTATTGGCAATGTTAATTTTGATAAGGCTTTGTGTGATTTGGGTGCTAG